TTCAGGGACAGGGCCTTGGGTGACATGGTCTAGTGTGAGGTGCCCCTGCCCATGGCAGGGGTTTGGAACTAGATGATCTTAAGGCCCTTTCCAACCCCAACCATTCTCTAATTCTATGTTATTCACTTATTTCCTTCAGTTGTCCCAGAAGGGAGCTATGCATCCCTTCCCAGCAAAACTATACCCACATTAAACTGAAACTTTCAAAGCTCAAGATATTTTTGCCACTGTCATCTTGTACTACAAGTGGTCCTGAAACAGAAAATTGTGAAGGTCAGCATGGGGAAAATAGAAGAGCCATGTGCATGATTCCTTATCGGATCAAAGGTTTCCTAAATCGGATGGAAACTTGTGGCTGCTCTGTGAGGGGCACCTGTGTATCTAAATTGGTGGGGTAAGCACACATTTCTCAAACAAGGGATGCCCAGTTTTTGCTGGTGGTCAACCTTGTCAACCTGTATTGATCAAGTAACACAGGCAACAACATGCTTTGCAAATTGAAAACCAAAACCCCAACTCAGCAGGGAGAGCAGTGGAACAACGTGAGAGAGTCACACAAGCAACATGAGTTACGAGCTGGGGACTTGGAGCAGCCTAACCTAATATAGAGGGACATTTAAGCTGTCTTAGTTGAGGCATCTTAGCAGTGCTCTAAAACACCATTTAAAAGCACTTACCTATCTCCATGTTGCCACACAAAGCACTAAGATTGTATCTGCAGGAAAACTGGATCACCCTCAAATTAGACCCCCTACTCCCAAACCAAGCATGGAAGTACACGGGTTGATTGACACCCCTGCCTGTGGTGAGACACAAAGTTAATAAGCTTCACAAACACTAATGTAAGCAAAGCAGGATCAGACCCTGGGACCACTGAGGATCTGCGGGGTTACTTCCCTGGAAGCTGGATCAGCCCAGGTGGTCTGCCCACTACCACTACAAAATGACTGTTGTGAAGAGCTTGGTGAAACAGCTTCAAAACACCCAACAGGAGCAGATCCAGAAGCACAAGTTACACATTCACACCACACTGCAACAGTTAAAAAAGTAGTAACAGATATGCAACAACTTCCCCCAGTTCTGGGGAACATCCCAGGTCAAGATCATGCTTCAGCCCCCAGGGAAGGTTCACAAAGTTAGATCACTAGAGAACACAGATAGATAAAATAACTTTCTATGCAGTCTTAACTACAGAAGCTACTGGTGCAACAATCAGACTTGGGATACAATTCCATTAAAAGTAACAAGTAACTTCAGAGACTTGTGTTAAGTCAACTTTTTCTCTGTGAATAAACTGCAAAGGCAGTTTTCTAGGACAGAATAAATTCTTGATATTAGTAACTTATGCATAGCTCCCCTGCTCCAAGAAGACATTATTTATTTTTACCATAACATAGAGAAGTTATTAATCTGCTGCCTTCCATTTCAACAATGCGAAGTGCTGTAAAATGCACAGACACCTGCATTACAGTACATTTCAGTTCCACTTTATATCAGTCATAAACATCTCTGCTTTGGACATCTCTTCAAAACAAATGCTCCAAGCACACTGTGTGTAGCATTGGGTTTTATGAAACTATAAAAGTTCTTCACTGTTAATTACACAGACAAATGTCTCATCACACGTTTGATTACCAGGATAATATAATTAGTTTTCTACATTAACCTTTCCAATATAGAGCCCGAATTTCAAGTTGAAAGCATTGTAAAAACACTCAGGCTGGGGGTAAATTATGTTTCTGCTTTTTTGTGATGATAATAAAATACTAAGACTGGGGAAAAAACCCAACCCAGTGTGGATTATGCAAAAGATAGATATACACACACAAGCTAGGTTTGATCAGCACTGTCCACAACACATGGGTGTACAGTCCCTCTCATGGGCTTCTGTTTCCAAGCCTGGGCTAGCAGCCTCTGTGACACAACATTTATGTTGATAACAGGCAAAAACTGAAGTCAAGTCTGTCTTAAATCTTGGCCGTACTCGGGGTTTAAGCACTTCACTCTGGGCTGCTTCCTCCTTTTCAGGTTGAGCAGTCTCTCCTGGAATCAGATAACTAAGTCCTTCCCTTCAAAACAAAAGAGACGCCAGTCCTCATCTGCGAAATACAGTAGTGAGATTCCTCCCACCCAAAGGCTGTGTTTAGTACGCCCTTTGTCAAGAAAGAAGAAACTTCTTGTTTAGCATCTCATCAGAACAAAGGATTGGAAGAGAGGACAAGCCACCACATCTCCCAGTCTAACGCTGCACCACATGAGCAGACTTCACAAGCTTACCAAGCTCCATTCATCGCAACCATCCAGAGGTCACATCCAGCACTTTGTCCACTGACTGTCCTGAAGCTCCCTCCACCTTTCAGCCTACAAAGCTGTATTCTGCCCACCTGTGCTGGTGCAAAAAAGACCATCTAGGTTCAACAGGTCTTTCCTGACATTTATCCTTAATTTATCTGCATGTTAAACAAACTGGATTCTTCCTTCTTACTGATTTACCCTAGGAGCTCCCCTCTTCTCAACAGTTCAGTTCGAGTTCATCCTTCTCAACTGTGAGACCAAAACATAAGCACATCCCACTCCTGACAGAGCTTATATACCAGCACTAACATTTCACCTTTTCTCAAGGTAACAGTTTCAATGATGGATCTCAGCATTCATCCACATACTAAAGGCTGCACCACACTGAGGTTTCAACAGCTGATCCCATAAGCCAGTTAGAGAACAAACCTACACTGAAGAACAAACTGAACTCTAAACAAACAAATTGGAGTGAACATCCTTCTGGGATGAATTTGGGCATAAACCAGTGAAATCAAGTGAAGCAGCAGTTATACCCTGAAGCTCCTTATTAGTGGACAGAACACCGAGCTGGGGAAAGTGTTGTGATCCCACCATCCCTGAAGCACAATGAAACATTACTCCATTCAATGTGACTTTTAAAGGAGATCTGGAATGCCAAACATCACTCATCCCAGATCCCCACTGAAAGGTGGGAACCCGGATTTCAAGTGCTTTCAGCTGAGTTCAGTCCCTGCCACTGCTTTGCCTACATTTGATGCAAGGAATCTGGATAAAAGCGGACACCAAAGTAACCTGGTGAAGATAAAGCGAGAAGATTATGTGAGCTCTGAGTAAGTTACTGAATTGAACCCAATCCCTAAGGGGGGAAAAAAAAGTCTAGTCTACAAATCTCTCACAGTCATTTGTCATTCAGCCTTGTCAAAACCAGCATGCTTTGAGGAAATCTGAAAGTTGGACACTCAGGATATTGCCAGGAAATAGCATCTTTTCATAGCTGCTGAAGGTGGGCTCCCAGGACTGCAACTCCACGCTTCAGTACCTGATAAGGAAGATCCTTGATAGGACTTACTTTCTTAAAGGTTAAATTCTGACTGGCTCTTGAAACAGGTGAACTTTAGGCACTTAAATGCCAGAGCACATTCAGTCACAGTGAAAAGTTGGGCATACTCAAAACAAACCCCAAAACAAATCCAAAGACAAAACAGCCAGACCAAAATCAAAATCAACTGGTCTGACTCACAGCACAGATATCAAAACACAGACTCTGCAGATTCTTAGAAGCATCCTGGCTTAAGCAGCTAGATGCCTAACTCCTGCCAAGCTTTATCATGACTTAGGGTTGGAAGACAAAGCATTGAAAGTAAACCTCTGGTGGAGCTCTCTCCATCAGGTTTATCAGACGTCACCAAAAGTGCTTACAGAACATGAAATCTGAACACAAAGCTCAGCAGCCACCCTTGCTGCTCTCTGGCAATGGGTGTAGGGGAGAAATACTTGCTCAAAATCCTAATGGTGAGAAGCTGAGAAAGGAATTTAACACAGCTCTCACCCCCATGTAAATATTCCAGCCATCAGAAGATTCCACACTGCCTAGGACATCCTCCTGTTCTCTCCCATTTATTTCTGGCCTCTAGAAGAGGTTGTGGCACTATGAATTAAGGAGAAAAATGCATTTTGCATGCAGACTGACTTCAGGTGCTGATTCACACACTCCAATGCTTCTTGCTGGCTCCAGGAGGCAACAGGCACGGACTACAGAAACCTTAAATCACCCTTCAAAACGTTTAGGCTCCTGGTGCAGTTAGAGGAGAGGCAGACACCCCCAAATTTCCTGCTGCAAAGGCACCTGCTTTCTCCAAAGCCTGAGCAAGGTGTCCAAGAGCTTGCTTCATACAGCAAGAGTCACTATGCCAGCTCAAAAACTGGCTCTTGCTCCTCTGAATTTGGCCTGCCAAATTTTTGCCAAGAGGTGCTTTACCCAGGTGAGGTCCTGCATGAGACAGGAGGGGGCTGGAAGCAGGGAAGCACTCTGCAGCTGGGACAAAAAGCATGCAGACAGGAAAGATAAAGGTTTGCTGATGATCAGTCCATGCTGGAGTATATATCTTTTTATATACACTTTGCAAAGTATATACACTTTGCACACTGTATACTACTACTCTGTTTTCTTTACACATTTTTAACTGTTGATTTAATTTAATTTTGCCATGGCAGGATTAGCAGGCAAGCTACAGAGGTGAAAGGACATTACATTAAGACAGCACATTAATCCTTTATCCCACCCAAGGCAGAAACAAAACCAAACAAATAGCAGCTTCCTGGAAATTGAATTTCTGTTATCCAGATGTCAAAGATGTAATACCCCAATTACAGAAACTCTTGCCAGTGAACCATGCCAGCGAATATGCAATGTAAATGGGGTGAGCAGAGAGCTGCAAAACTGCAGAGTCAGCATCTGGCTCTCTGAGTGAGTGATAATTAGCACTGTGTGTAGACACTAATAAACATTTATGTCTGAAATTACAACTTTTAGCAGTGTTAATAAAGGATATATTGGCAATTCATAGAATAAAAGGGTCTTGAAAAGAATGTCATATTAAACAATGGCAGGCTCTTCCTGTGCTTGCACAGAGGGTTTTTTCCTCCCTAATTGCAAATGGCCACGCTATGTTGCTCAGAAATTAATCAACACAAGCACATACCTAAAAAAAATGGTTGTGTTTCTTTGGTCTCCCCATTAACATCATTGCTGTAGTCAGAGATCTTATATATCTCAGGATGGTAATCTGGAATGAAAAACGATAAAAAAAATTAGAACTCAAGTGATCTGGAAAAAATGAACACTGAACACATTGCTACAGTTTTACTACATAATTTATCAATATATCTGCAGTTGATTTCATGTACATCAAATTAACCACAGAAAATGTGCTCTGTATCAGCACCTCCTAAAAAAAAAAAAACTTTGCTCACACTGGAGAGACCCAGCTCTGATATTTCACAGATTTTAGGGAATAGCTACGCCTGCCCTAAATTACTGTGTTCATTTTCACAGCAAATTATCCCACCAGATGCCAATTATCTGGCTTCTTGCTTTACAGATGGAAAGCAGATTTATAACGAAAACTTTACCTTCCCAGAGACCAAGGGGAACTTTCAAACTTCACCTCAATCAGAAAATCAGCAGCGTACATTAGGGCTGCATCATTCAACTACACTGACACGTATTGGTGTCACTGGCCTCTGAATTCTGAAGAAAGGAGGATCAGGGACACCTTAGGGTATTCACCTAGAGAAATTAAGGATGACCCTAAATATAAACACCAGCATCTCGTATTCAGAGATGTTACAGGATTAAAAAATAATAATAAACTAAAAAATTCACCACTGAATTTCTATTTCAAATAAAAGAGAATTTTGCTGCGAAGGTGTCTGCTGTAATCCGAGGCAGGTGCTCTGTAAAACCAGAGCTGTGTTTACATGTGTGTACAGAGGGAATAGTAAGTCCAAGGAACAAATAATGTCTAAAGGCAGCTCTCCTGGATGCTATTTCTGCCTCTGCTACTGACACACACTTTGTCCTTCGGCAAATCACTCAAGACTGAACAATATATTCAGTGTCTTGAAACAGCCACCTCCCCACCTCACTCTAATGCCCTCCCAGTTCCCAACACTCTCAGCTACTCCCTCTGTAAACTGGTTTTTATGTTTACCTGCCTCACAAAAAGCAAGACAGAGATTAACTCATGGAAGAGCACTTTGGGGGATTCACTTAAAAGGCACAACAAAAACAGAGGGTGGCAGAAGCAGCTCCTCCTCCCGTGAGCAGTACACCTGCACCGTGGAGAAAACAGCTACAGGATCAGAAAGGTCTCCTGGAAGCCAAACCTTTTGTTAGGTGCTGTCTATTTGTACAGCATGACTGTCTCGAGGGCACAACAGGAGGAACAACCCAGTAAATAAATGAGAATTGAGCCTAACACAGCAATGCAAGAAGAGAAGAGGGCCTGGAAAGAAGATGGTGGGGGGGGGGGGGGGGGGGAACACAACAGGGAGTTGGAGAAGTCAGTGACGAGGTGCAACACAAAGGGTTCCTCTGCCTACTGAGCACACCCAGCAAGTCAAGCGGGTAAAGGTGAAGTTTGAGATATGACATCAAGGAAGTAAAGGCTCCTTTCATAAAGCTGAAACTATGGGATTTATGCTGACTGCCTTCCATGGTCATTAGCTGTCCCTGTTGAGGAGGCAGAGCGGTTTGGTGGGGACCTGGTGACCAGCCAGGGTCAACCTGCCACATTCAGAGTTTTCCTCCTCTCAAAGGCCTCCAAGATCTGCTGGGAATAAGTACACGAGAACTAGGAATTAAATGACTTACAGACTCATGGTCCTTAGATCTATAGAGTACACATGGTTTCTTCTCTAGCACTTCCCTCTGTACAACCAGCTGGTCACAATATCCTTCTGATCTACAGCTTCTACCTTAAAGTCACCACACTTCACCCCAGAAAGCGCTGCATTTTAGTGCAGGAATGGATTTCCTCTCGATCTGGTCATTACTGATCATCTGGATCAGGTGCTCTGAAGTTTTTTTGGGGCCAGAATAAGCACTACATGGGCACACATAGTTAACAGATGGTGTGTTACCAGCAAACTGACACAGCATACCCTATTCTCTTTGGTTTTCTTTCTTGTGCCTCGGATGTCACAGTCCAGGCGCTGTGAAACCCATATCAATTTCACAACAGTAAACACTAAACTGTGACATTACAGAATGACTCCTGCAAGCAGCAAAGGCCAATTACAAGAGACAACTATTTATACATAATTATCTTTATAATCAACTGTGATAGAAAAAGAACATGTGAGTGCAAACTCACATGCAAAATGTGATTTTTATCTCCTCCATTCTCAAAGCACAAAGGCGTAATTTTCTCTCTAGGGTATGTTTTTAGTAGAGCTTTCTCTAAGCCTTTCTACATCCAAAAAGAGACCCTAGGTACAATGAGAATTACTAACAATCTAACATCATAACTGAATTTACCTATTAAAACAAGGTTAAATAGATTGCCTTATTCACTGAGGCATATCTAAACCTGTAACAAGTGGCAAGTGAGAACCGGCAAAATAGCTATCTGTTTCTGATAGTGCACTTATTCTTTTTACAGGTCTATTAGGGCAGAAATAAAACCATGTCTTCAATTTCAGTTTTACTTTTCCACAGCTTTCACGCCCCCCAGGTTCCTGGACTAACTCTGCCTCTGTGTCAGGAGCACGTTCGATACCAAAACCCCACAAACCAAACCTGTTCTCTGCAGAAATCAAACCCTCGATAGGTTTACTAATGTGCACAGACCTCCAATACCTTTCAGACAAGTCTGACTGGTCGCTGCTCTTCTAGTTTTAACCTGGACTATGTGTCATGCTTCAGACCCCCTACGAGGATACTACAGCCATTATTTACTATTCCTACCAAGTGAGCTTATTTCCTTCTTTAAATTTCCTTGCATCAAACACGATTTTGCCAAGCTCCTGCAAAGACATTGTTCTTCAGACAGCAAGTCTTGACACTTGCGTGTGTGTGTCCCCCTTCCCAAGTGTGACATTACACCCAAGCAGTCACCTGCCTTGAACTTGGCATGCAGGAGACACACGGCTGTTTCATGGAGATATCCTTGTCCAATACTTGGAAACACAAAAGGAAAAACAGGATCTCAAGTCAAATGCATTGGGGCAAAAAGATCTCACTGGCCAGAGAAGGGATGAATCCCCAACCAAAATAAATCCCTAGGGCTGGGAAGACCACCTGTTAAAATGCCCACCAGCGGCTGTATCTTTTCCTATTATTATCATAAGAAACCCCCAACCAAACAAGAAGAAGACTGACAACAGAGCTGTGCTCCTTCCCTGACATGAATCCAAATATTTCCCCCCCCGCGATCCCTTTTCAAATAGCTTCTTTTGCAAAAGCAAACACACCCCGAGTGAACAAGTTACACGCCAGCGGCTCTCCCCTGCCCACGTACAATTAATTACCTGCGTGGATTGTTAATAAAGCAACCTCTATTCGGCTTTTCTTTGACATACGCGGATGTACACAGTCGAGGGGAGAAAAAAACCCACCCCAAACACAATAAATCCACAGGAGTCGAATACTAAGAAGGTCCGTTGCTGCTCAAGTGTCATTATTTTTTCGCTCGCTTCCTGATTTTACCTTCCCCCCCCCATTCCAAAAGCAGGATTTACCACGAAACACGATCCAACTTTATTTTGTGCAAGAAGAAAAACACGTCCACCTTTCCGGGGTGGTTGGGGAAGTGTGTGTATGTGCGGGGGGGGGTGTTGCAACAACACGTAACACACATGCAGAAAACCCGATTAAAATACGGAGAAGGGGGTTAAAAAGGAAAGAAAATACAAGACGTGCAATGGTCTCGGGGAGTTGAAGCACAGGATTGCGGAGTTAAATAACAGACCCGCGGAAGGGGGGAGCGGCGACTCGGGGCGCAGAGCTCGGGCGTTTC